GCGGGGCGCGCTCCCCTTCGCAGGATGCGATCCGGGGACCGGATGCAAACGCGGGCGCTCCAGTGCCTCCCTCGGGGCACCGTGGGCCCCTCCTGGAAGCCGCTCGATCCCGGAGGCGCCACATTTCGGAAGTCACATGGTGGGTGCCCTCGTGGCGCGAGCTGTGCCTTTGCAGGAAAAGCCTCCTGGGAAACCGCAGTAGCGGTCCCGGTGCAAAATGAAGAAAGAAGAAGAGTTGTCTCGCTGCCAACCTGCCTGAAGGTGCAGGAAAGGGAGCCGGGCGGCCCGGGTGCGGCAGCTCGTAAACACGCCCACGTGTGGCGCGTCGGCAGCGGCTGCAGATCCCACACGTGCTGGGTCGGCCTGATGCCGGGGCCCAGCCACCTGGTCCCCTGGCCCCCGGGGTGACTCGCGCGAAACCGACCTCCAGGCCCTTCCGAGATCTCCGCCAGCATCCGCTCTGCCTTCCCCAGGAGAGCAGCACCCCGAGAAACGCGTGCAAAAAGTCACACCTTGAAATCAAAGCTCCATCAACAGAAACCCAACATCGGTGCCCCCTGCACCCCAGGCACCCCGGTCCCGGGAAGGATGCAAAGGGCGAATCCCATGACTTGCCCGACACAAGGCATTTGCAAAAGCTAGAACGGTGACAGGCATGTATTTGCATAGATGTTTTCTTACATCACAGGCCCGTGGCCAGTGCAGAATTCCCAGCTGAATAAATTCTCGTGATTCCGTAACAGGCGACATTCCCTGAGGAATGCCACCGTTGAAACCATAGAGATGATTCACGAATCCTCCTGGGCCTTCTCTTGAGTCCGCTCAAGGACTTGAAAGGCGGTATTTTTTTTATTTTTTATTTTTTTTAAATATATTTTATTGATTTTTTACAGAGAAGAGGGGAGAAGGATAGAGAGTTAGAAACATCGATGGGAGAGACCGACCAGCTGCCTCCTGCACGCCCCCCAATGGGGATGTGCCCGCAACCCAGGTACATGCCCCTGACCGGAATCGAACCTGGGACCCTTGAGTCTGCAGGCCGATGCTCTATCCACTGAGCCAAACCTGTTCGGCGAAAGGCGGTATTTAAGGAGCATTTTGAGACAAGAAATATCCCCAGGCCCTAGCTGGTGTGGCTCAGTGGATAGAGTCTCCCTTCCTCTCTGTAAAAAAAATCAATAAAATATATTATATTATATGTATATGTATTTGTATGTTTCTAACTCCCCGCAGCTACCCACCGGCCTTCTGCCACCGGAGCGGGTGGAACTCGAATGCTACCCAGTAGAGTTCAGCGTTAAGAGGAAGACGGGAAATTCACAAACTTCAGGCCGCGGTAAAATATGAGTGGGTGCCCCTGAGGAATGAGGCTGCGGCTTTATCCCGGGTGTCAGTGTTTAATGGGGAGCTGGGATGCGGACAGGCCAGGCCATCCGTGAAGGGCAGCGGGACGCCGGCGTGAAAAGCCAACTTGGCTCCTCCGTGATCAAGATGAGAAACCTGTCATTTCTCTCATTCACCGTGTCAGCCTTGAGCTCCGCGGAGCGGACTCACCTCGGGGCTGTACACTCCATCGATCAGGAAGATGGACAGACCCCGTAAACCGCCACGGAGGAGGGAAGCCGTTAACGCTAATCATTTCTGCCGCAGCAGCACCTGAGATACACTTTCCGGGGAACAGACAAAAGAAGACACACTCCATCAAGGCCGATTTAGTTTTCTATTTTTCAGCATTAGCGGCGGCGCCTTGAGCATTTATAACAGCGGTTCTCAACCTGTGGGTCGCGGCCCCTTTGGGGGTCGAACGACCCTTTCACGGGGGTCGCCTAAGACCATCAGAAAACATGTCTATAATTACATATTGTTTTGGGGATCCATGGCTATGCTTGAATGATGTTCATTGTGTCACAATGAAAATACATCCTGCATATCAGATATCTACATGACGATGCATAACAGTAGCAACATTACAGTGATGAAGTGGCCACGAAAATAATGTTATGGTTGGGTCACCACACGAGGAACTGTATTAAAGGGTCGAGGTATTAGGAAGGTTGAGAACCACTGATTTATAAGATAACGGGCCAGCCCACCTGCTTAAGAGTGGTGTGGTCAGGGGGGTCGGGGGGAAGAAGGGCGGGGGGTACTATTCGGTTCCTTCAAATTAGAAAATTAAAATGCCAACCCCAGGTACACGGCATGTTAGTTAGAAAAACCAGCCTGCCAGTTTCTGGCAAGAGAGAGCCTGGGAATGAGAAAATGTTAAACTCGGAAAAGGTCATCAAAGTGATCACAGAAAGACCTGGAAGCGTCAGTATTTCTAAGCGCTGTTTTCATCTCCGGCGATTAGAACAGATTTGTAATCGTCTTTAATGGGGTAAAAAAAAAAAAAACCACAATTTTTTTCAAAAAATATGGAAGTGTAAAACAGCTAAGAGAGTAAACTTAGGGTAATAAGGAGGGATCGTTTTTAAATAATACTTAAAACACCAATTTAAGTGCAGATAGCATTTCATAACATCGGCTGTCGCCAAACTGCCTACATTTATTTTTTTTACTGTACCCTATGTATAAGAAGTGCCCCAAGTTTTCTGTGTATTAGTTCTAAGCGTTAGAAAAGAGTTACCTGTAAATGTAAAATAAATCTCACTCCGCCTGTGAACCAGGAGGTCGCGGTTCGATTCCCAGTCAGGGGCACGTGCCCAGGTTGCGGGCTCCATCCCCAGCGGGGGGGAGGGCGTGCAGGAGGCAGCCGATCCATGATTCTTTCTCATCATGGATGTTTCTCTCCCTCTCCCTTCCTCTCTAAAATCAATAAAATATATTTTTAAAAAAATAGAAACTTATCCCTGAAAGTTCTCACTGAGCTAGAAATCTACCCACAGTGTCCACCCATCGTCTCAAAGTCTGACTGACACCTAGTCCGTTATCTGGACGTCGACCGTCCTCGTCTTTCATAGCGCGCTACTCTCTGCCACAAGATCCATCTTCTGTTAAGTGGTGATACGTCCTTCCCTGGCGAGACAAAGGACAGGAAGGTGCCTGGGACGGGACCGGGACCCAGGACAGGACCTACTCAGGAATCAGAATGCTACCAACAAGGCTGATGGATATACTCACGGGCCTGGCTCCCCGAGAGCGCTGGCATGTACATCATCCTGTCCGGGCCTCGGGGAGGGAGGCGGGCGGAAGAGTGTTGGCTTTAGGCTGAGAATGGGGTGCTGAGGCCTCAGGGTGCCCAGGTGAGCGGCCTGGCTCCTGAGAGAATGTTCCTTCCGATGCTGCTGCCTCAGACACCTCCTGACTCTTAACGCACCGGCTTCCAGATCACGTGGGTGGGGAGGTCTCGAGAAGGCCAGGCTTGAGGGGGGCATTGCGCTTGGGCGAGCTCCTGAGGTCGGGGTCTCCATCCGTGTCCAGTCACCCTAGTTCTCTTCCGTCCTGCGAGGGCCACACGGGTACACGGACGGGGGACGGTCGATGGCTGGGTGCCCGGCTGGGTCTTTTTCTTCTTCTTCTTCTTCTTTTAATCCTCACCTGAGGATATTTTTCCATTGATTTTTAGAGGGAGCGGAAGAGAGAGGGAGAGACAGAGAAACATTGATGTGAGAGAGACACATCGATGGGCTGCCTCCTGCGCGCACCCTGACCGGGGCCTGGGCCGGGGAGGAGCCTGCAACCACATGCCTTTGGCCGGAAT